ATTTATAGATTCAATGCTATCCCCATCAAGCTACCATTGACTTTCTTCACAGAATTGGAAAAAACTACTTTAAATTTCATATGGAACCAAAAAAGAGCCCACATAGCCAAGACAATCCTAAGCAAAAAGAAGAAACCTGGAGGCATCATGCTGCCTGACTTGAATCTATACTACAAGGCTACAGTAACAAAAACAGCATGATACTGGTACCAAAACAGATATATACCTTTTAGACTGGGAGGATAAGCCCCTTGGGATCTGAGTTTCTAAGGCTGCTTTTGCTTCTGTGGTTCTTGTTCCTATCAATTTTTCTTTTTCTTTTTCTTTTTTTTTTTTTTTTGAGACAGAGTCTTGGTCTGTCACCGGGTGCCAGGCTGGAGTGCAGTGGCATGATCTCGGCTCACTGCAACTTCTGCCTCCTGGGTTCAAGCAATTCTCCTGCTTCAGCCTCCCAAGTAGCTGGGACTATAGGCAAGCGTCACCATGCCCAGCTATTTTTTGTATTTTTTGGTAGAGAAGGGATTTCACCATGTTGGCCAGGATGGTCTCAATCTCTTGACCTCAGCCTCCCAAAATGCTGGGATTACAGGCGTAAGTCACCCCGCCCAGCTGATTTTTCTTTTTATGAATCACACAAGTATTCTCTACTATGGACCTCCGAAAGTTAAATATTAGCAGAGTCCACAGCTTCTGCTGTGTGTCTACCTTGCCTCGGCTGCAATGTTGCCAGGCTTCTCTGTTCTTTCTTGATCTTTAGCAGTGACCTCTTATATTAGTTGCTGTTCCCCTACTATGAGTGGCCATGATGAGTCCTCGTGATAGTGTCCATGTGCAAAGCAATTCTCGTCCTAGTGTATCATAGCATGTGGGCATGGTGTTTGGCAAGGGTGTGAGAGCTGTGAGCTGTGACCTCAAGCAGCTTTGTTTTCCTGGGACATTTTGAATAAGTGCAGGTGGATGATTTGGAGCAAATGAATGTTCTAACCACAGAGTCTCTTTCTGATTGTAGAGTTGCCTCACTCACAGAGCTCTCCAACTGTCAGCAGCACCTGTACTAAAGTGCTCTATTTCACTGACCGGTCACTTACGCCCTTCATGGTCAATATACCAAAGAGGTGAGATTCTGGGATCATTATATTTCTCTGTAAAAAAAAAGGAAAGGGAGGCAGAACCTCATTAGTTACTGCCCATATAAGCAGTTGAAAGGTTTTTGAGAAGTACTAGAGTGAGATCTCACTATAGTGAGATCAGCCATAGAGATAGAAATTTTAGTTTCAGCTTTGCCACTATTCAGTGTATCTTAAGGGACAAGTCATGATTTACTACTAGATACAGGTAAAATAATAGTACTTTCAATCCTGAAAACTATGCAAATATTGCTCTGCATTTGGAAAAATCGTTTGTGTGTGTGTGTGTGTTCAAAATAGCTCCTGCTGACAGCAATGGATTGCAGCCTGGCACTGACTCCAAGACTATGACTAATTGATCTTTGTTGCTATTCGATGACTGCAACTAATCCCTATTGAGAAATTATGTCAAAAGCCTTCCAAAAATTCGGTTAATGTACTTCCTTTTAAGGGAAATGGTTTTGAAGTAAAGAAATTTAAACTCTGCAACCAACTATTGAGAGAGGTTATAGGATTTTCCTTTCCTAGAGAGTCTGTTTATTTAGTCTGGGTTAGAAGCCAGCTTCCTAAAGATAGAAGGATAAAGATGGTGATACTTGATTTGATTGTACCATCTTAGAGAATTAGGATATTATAGCAAAGAAAATCAAGAGAACTTTGATGTATTTGTGGTTATTCAACAAATTTGATTTCAGGGACTTTATGTCTTATTTCCAGAGAAAAATGATTTGGCTCCTGAAGCAATAAATTGATTTTAAATTCTCATATCACCCTATATTTAATACTGTTTTTTCCCTAGTGGTGACTGGTTCTCCAGTCTCTGCTGTTTTAGAGTCATTTGGGTTATCGGGGCAGTGACCTATTGAGGGGCTATTTCTTCTTATTGACTTTGGCAGAAGGCTGGGTTTAAAGTTGACATCTTATCTTTCCAGCTATTGATCAACAGTCTGCTTTTGTGCTCTCTCCCTGTGTCGCAGGTTGGAGGAGGTGACACTAAAGGATTTTAAAGCAGCTATTGATCGGGAAGGGAATCACCGGTATCACTTCAAAGCACTAGATCCTGAGTTTGGCACTGTCAAAGAGGAGGTAAAGAATCTGTGGGGAGTCTGGATGGTATTATTGGTCCTTTCTGAACCCTGATGCCTTCTGTTCAAGCACTACTGTCCAGAAGTACATGAGTTCCTTGACCAGGTCAGAGGAATTTGCCAGAGCCTCAGACCATGGTCTGATTACTCTAGGCAGGTGGTCATAGAATAGCCCAAGATGCTGTTAGGTTCTTTAGTTGTAGGACTTCATCATTTGACCAAGAACTTGGATAGAATTTTTATTTTAAATTATTTTGCTAGGGAAAATAAAGAAACTAAGACAATAAAATAATTTTCCATCTGTAGCCAAATCTTAGAAAACTTATTTCTTCCAATGTAGAGCAAAATAAACCGGCATGAATATATGGAACTATATATTATGTGGTGGTAGTTTCTCATAATGAAATTAAGGAACTTCTAGAGAGTTATCTATGCTTATGCCAACTCCTTGAATATTTTCTTAGACTATGCAACTCTATAAATCCATTTGTCAAATACAGACTTTTGCGGAAGGAGACAGTTCTGGGTTATATAGTATTACAAATACATTCATTCTGGGTTATATAGTATTACAAGTACATTCATTGCAGTTACAGAATGAAAAAAGTTATTACAGAAAAAGGCCGGGCGCTGTGGCTCACGCCTGTAATCCCAGCACTTTAGGAGGCTGAGGCGGGAGGGTCACGAGGTCAGGAGATCAAGACCATCCTGGCCAACATGGTGAAACCCCGTCTTTACTAAAAATACAAAAAAAATTAGCTGGGTGTGGTGGCGTGCGCCTGTAGTCCCAGCTACTTGGGAGGCTGAGGCAGGAGAATTGCTTGAACCCGCGAGGCAGAGGTTGCAGTGAGCGGAGATCGCACCACTGCACTCCAGCCTGGCACCTGGCAACAGAGAGAGACTCTGTCTCAAAAAAAAAAAAAGAAAAGAAAAGAAGAGGTAAAATTTCATTTTGTAACCATTCCCTCAGTGAAATGTTTTAATAACCCTGTTTTATTACTGGCTTAGGAAATGAGGTGGTTGAATTAATGAAGATAACTGCAGCTGAGAAATATGTTAAGATCAAGTCTTTTTTCCCACCCTTTCTTTTCAATGCCTGGTACCTAAATTTTCCACTTTCTCATTTTTAAAATGCCTACACTATTTCTTTCCTCTAAGAAGCCCAAAGTACTTTGTGACTGGTAATTTATTAATTCTTACAAATCTCTATTAGCAAAAGTAGTACGAGAGATTTTAAAAAAGAAAAACCATTTCATAGATGTGGATCTAAGAAAAAAAAATATCAGTTGCAATTCTAGGGACAAGACCAAAGGGACATACAGTCTTTTTTTTTTTTTTTTTGAGACGGAGTTTCGCTCTTGTTGCCCAGGCTGGAGTGCAATGGCGCGATCTCGGCTCACCGCAACCTCCGCCTCCTGGGTTCAGGCAATTCTCCTGCCTCAGCCTCCTGAGTAGCTGGGATTACAGGCACGTGCCACCATGCCCAGCTAATTTTTTGTATTTTTAGTAGAGACGGGGTTTCACCATGTTGACCAGGATGGTCTCGATCTCTTGACCTCGTGATCCACCCGCCTCGGCCTCCCAAAGTGCTGGGATTACAGGTTTGAGCCACCGCGCCCGGCCCGGGACATACAGTCTTAACGCAAGGCTTTCTTCTACATGTTTGAGGTCTTATTTTTATTAGCAGCAATTGTTTAGTGAGTGAGATTTCCTGTTTTTTTCATTGTGGCTTTTTTTTTTTCCCCTCTAGATTTTCCATGATGATGATGCCATCCCTGGATGGGAGGGGAAAATTGTAGCTTGGGTGGAAGAAGACCATGGAGAGAATTAATGCCAAGTATCAGATTGAGGGCTTGTGGAACCTGGTCACTCCCTGGCTGCTTCACTCAGGAAAGGGAACTAAAACCAGAATACACTAAGAAGTTTCTAGTTTGTACACCCAAACAGAAGCTTTTCCAAGTATGATGGCCACAGGTCAGTCCTATTTCTGTGCCTGGCATACCTGGTACTTAAAATTCTGTCCAAATGTAGACCATGAGTTCATCTGGAGTTCCTTGTCCGTGGGAACACAGTGTTTTATTCTACTCTGAGGACAACAAACCGAAGGCCTTAAACAATGGGGATGGATGATCCCGCCTCTATAGGGGCATGGCTGCTATTATCTGGAAACTAGGAATTGGATGCATCACTCCTGCTGTACGTTACAGTATTATCTTCACTGGCCTCAATGGTTGCAGCAATCAGAGTCCCAGCATTTGTACTCACAGACAAGGCAAAGGTACCAGCTTTTCTGTTTCTTAGAAGCTACTGCAAACCAAGAATAACTCATGAGGTGGTACCAAAGATGAAAGCCCAGTCTTCAGTAGTCTTTTGAACCAGATGTGGATGGTGCTGAATTGTTGCTTGGATGGGAAAAGGGCTGCCCATTTCGTGCTACACTATGCTAAAACGGTACTTCAGTAAGACCTTCGGCTGCCTCTTCTGTCTTAACTCGTTCTGCAGCTTGTCCTTTTGCCCACATAGGGCCTATTTCATGTACTGTTAGTTTTCTCTGGGGACTCTTAACTTTAGAGCCATTTCTTTTTCTTCCAACTGATGAACTTTGTGTTTGAAAGGAATAAGGAGTGGAAAGCTCCTTAAAAATCCAGGCGGGTATGGAAAGGTGCTGCTACCCATATCTTTTTTACTTTGTTTCATGACTTTCCTTAACTCATGGCATCTCCTTTGTGGTTAAAAGGAGACAGACCATTAATTTCAGCATTTCTTTGTGGTTTATAAGTACTGAGCATGAAGTACTTGTCTGCCCCTCCTGATTTCAAGGCCAGAGTTATTTTCTATTTATGTATTTAGTCTAGGCTGAGCCTTTAGGGTACAATAGAAACCATGGGGTGTGGAGCATGAGTTGTGAATGGCAGGGATCATTCTGGGTGAAAAAACCCAGAATCATTTCTCATGTGCAACACTGTCACGTGAAGAAGCTAACAGTTCAACTACCGAGATTATTTGATAACCTGGGTTTTCTCGTTCATCCACCAAGCACCATCAACCAATCAGCCATATTATTTATATATGTATTACCAAACACAGTCTGTCTGCCTGTGACCTCCAGTGTACACTGCCAAACACAAGAGTAGGACAGATCCATTCTGGATTCTTGACCTGTCTGTCTCCAATTCATCTCCCCTTTTCAGCCATTTCAACAAACTACTCTTTGGCGCTCTGAGATGACATCTTGTTGTTTTACATAGATGTGTCTTTTAAAAACAGTTCATGTTTGGAGAATTCTTTTGTACTCATTTGCTTTTTGTCTGAGAACCATGTCTATTTTTATAACTGGAGTGTGAGTTATATATCTTCTCACATTCTATATACTGTATCCATTTTCTAGAGAACCCAGTAGCTTTTATACAGTCTCTTCTTACCACCCCTTGTGGTTTCAGAACAAGCTTTACTTTATTACAAGTATACTAATGACAACTAATTCCTATTCCAGTTCTACCTATTTTAGTTGTGAAGGTAGTTTTGTGTAATCCAGTTGATTGCTCCTGCAGCAGAGAGAAGGAGCTCAAAAGACACTTGATGTCTTTCATGTAAGTTTACCTGGTCTTTTCCTATTGAAGGATTTTTCATCAGAAATGACTGAGAAAGTTTGGGAAAGTCAGCCAAAAGAAAGAATTCATTACGAAAGCAAACAGAAGAAAACAGTATATTCTCACAGTTTTTTCCCAGGAAGTCTGGAGAAAAAGTCCTCATGTCACCAATTTCTCTTTTGCATGAATTTTAGTGTTTTGCTATAAGACAGCATGAGGGCTATCAGGCCAAAATTCATTATTGTATTTCTAATACAATTTGTCTTGAATGTCTGTCTCTTAAAACAGTTTTTACTTGTCACTTTTCTTTCAGCAAACAGTCTATTATGTGGAATTTAACTTTTCAGAGAAAATTTCCAAAGTCCTCTACCGTATTTGGCTTTTATCTCTGTCTTTTGGAAAGGAGCTGCATGGCCTCAGTGCCTCCATAAAAAGCTAAGTTTGCGTTCACAAGAGAACATAAGATCGTTTTTTTTCCCTTTAACTCAGTAATCTCACGTACCACAGGACCAAGCATCTCTGCTAGAGGATGTACCTCTCATAACTCCTGTGTAAAATATGTTGGTGATCGTCATTCCAGTTTCCAAAGCGAGAGGAGCCTTCTGAGCAGAAGTATGCAAGACTGATTTTGTTGGGAAAAGTTTCTTACTTGGCTGCATTCTAGGAGGCCTCCTGACTTGTTCATGGTATTGTCCCCTGGTGGCATTGGTGTGGGGTAGTTAGTCCTGCTACTTGCTAAAGTTTCCTTTGAGAAAACTGAGGAACCAGAAAGTTTAGAGTTCATAAAATAATCTCTAAACCATGTTAGGTTAAAACAAAATGACCATCTCACAAAAATAAGTGTAGTTTACAAAATCTTCATTTAAGGCTGGGTGTGGTGGCTCATGCCCGAAATCCCAGCACTTTGGGAGGCCGAGACAGGAGGACTGCTTGAGCCTAGGAGTTCAAGACCAGCCTGGGCAACATAGCAAGACTCCGTCTCTACAAAGAAATTTTATTATAAAAGTAGCTGGGCATGGTGGCACACACCTGTAGTCCCAGCTACTCAGGAGGTCAAGGTGGGAAGATTGCTTGAGCCCAGGAGTTTGAGGTTGCAGTGAGCTGATTATGCCACTGCACTCCAGCCCAGGTGACAGAGCAGGACCCCATCTCTTAAAAAAAAAAAAAAAAGTCATTTAAAAACTGAAGACTGCTCAGTTCCCTAGATTAGCTGGGGGGACTGCAACACTTCACAATGTTTACATTTTTAAATTTGAAGAATTTGTTTTAAACTTACTTGGTAATGGCAATTCTACTTACCAACTTTTCAGCTCTTTTTGACCAGGATAGTTGCAAATTAGGGAAAATATCTTTATACTCTACATCCAATCCAAGAGGACTCTAATTACTAAAAAGCATTTAGGTCCTAATAATTTTCACTGTTTTCATAAAATAAGCATTATGATTGCACACTCCTTCTACTGTCTGAATTTATGTAAGAGGTATAGCTTGCTTAAAATACATATATATGTAAAATTATATTTTCTTAGAAACATGGATGTTTGCAACCATTGCTTTCAAAGAGATTATTACTGTGTATTCTCCCTGTTTTACAATATGTTTTCATGGAGACTATGTTATACTACAGGCTTCTGATTATCAAAGCGATAACCAGTTTTAACCGCCGGTATGTACCAGATTTGTGAACTAATTAAAAAAAACCCTCAAACTATGAATAAAATGGAGTTTGCAAACTAAATATCATTAATGATTTTCACTTGCGTTTATTGATGAGATTAATCAATAAAGCCATTTGTATTTAGTGAAAGCAAATTTCCTCAAGTGATCTCCCTGGTAGCATGGTTTACTCATTATGTGGAGAGTGGAGATAAGGATTACTTTATTGCTATAGATATTTTACAATTAGTATTTCTATATAAGCACATATCAAGGACAATTATCAAGGACAATTTATTTAGCACTCCTTTTGAAATTACATGTGAACTTTCAAATAAGAACCCAACAGTATAAACTCAATGACAAAAGTTATGTATGCTTTGCAATCATTAAGAACTCTTTTAGAAATGTATATTTAAAACAACCAGAATTCCCAAATCATTTGAAAGCAAATGTTTGCTATATTGAATTCTTTATCCCTGAGTGCCTTCATTTGACTTCCAATTACCTATTTTCAACTATTAATCGGCTATCCCATCATGTTAAAATTAAATATGTACATAACTCAAAATCTTTCACTACCAACTAATTTCTCTTTCTCTCAATATCAATAATATCACCATTCTCTAAGTCTCTCTGCTTCAAACCTTGAGTCTTGGGTCTCCTTTTCCATAATTTCCTTTATTCAGTCTGTTTAGTGGAATCCAAGTGGGTTCTCTCAGGACTGATTTGACAAACCTAAGCATTCTTAGCCTACCTTTGGGGTAAACTTGTCATCTCTGGACTGTTTGAGCTATGCATTCCTATAATTTAGCTACTCCTAAGTCAAAAGTATATTCAGGATACAAACTCGCCATTCTTTGAAAAATGCAAAGATGTTTAAGCAAGCATACCTAAGTGCACAGCAGATCCTACAGATCACGTCCTACTTCATAGCAAAGGCTAAATAGGTCCAGTTATTCAAATGCAGCAGAAGCAGCGACATAGTTTAGCCAATTCAAAAACACATTTATAATAATTTATAAGTCCTTGCTGTTAAAAGAAAGTCATTAAGAGGGGAAAGAAAAAAAAACAATAATTTATAAGTCCTGGCTGGGCACGGTGGCTCAAGCCTATAATCCTAGCACTTTGGGAGGCCCAGGTGGGTGGATCACCTGAGGTCGGGAGTTCGAGATCAGCCTGGCTAACGTGGTGAAATCCCCATCTCTACTAAAAATACAAAATTAGCTGGGCATGCATGGTGGTGTGTGGTCAAGATGGCCAGGGGAAGACCTTTGTTAATTCTAGCACAATAATTACAAGCTTGATTGGCTCACAGTGCACTGAAGTTTATACACCGAACTATATTATTGGTGCAGTTAATTAGAAATCAAGCAGCAACAGGAGGCCTAAGGTAAAGACCATCGGGGAACACAGTAACACCGGGGAACACCGAGGGGTGGATGCAGAGCAGGGAATACTGCTGTGGTCTCACGAATGCCTTCTCAACATGGAGACTGCATGAGGGTCTCCTAAAGAGGGCTTGTGCAAAGATCTCTGAGAAGGGAGGCAACATCTGCTCACAAGATCTGGGAGGGTCTTTGCAGATGGGAGCTGGCAAGGAGGAGAAAAGCCTTGCAGGGCAGAGATCACGAAACGCCTCAGGCTCTGCCTAGGTTCTTAGAATGTAGAGTGATTTTAATTGTTCTATGTCCTCAATGCTCCGTAGATAAAAGCCCCTAGATGCGTTGGGAGTGTTCAGACCAGGTGGCTCCTCCTCTGCTATACTTCTGATGCAGCAGCACCCTGATAACAATCAGTGATAAACTCAGAGTACTAGTTTAGCATGTTTTAGAAGGATCTCAAGTGCTTTTAAATGCTTACAGCACTAGTTTAGTATGTCTTAGAAGGATCTCAAGTGCAAGTGCTCCCCGGCCCCACCTTACCTACCCCTTCACCCACCCCTTCCATGCCCATAAATTCAATGAGATTATGCACATAATAAAAGTGTTTAGAGCCCAGAGCTCGGGGCCAGTGCGGTTCCCACTCTTGCGTTGGTCCCCTGGACCCATGCTGTAAATTCCACTCTTGTGTCTCGTCTTTATTTCCTTTTCTCAATTCCTTGTCACTGCCAGGACTAAAGGCACCTACGTATGGGGTTGGGGCTGGTACCCAGCAATGGCGCGTGCCTGTAATCCCAGCTACTCAGGAGGCTGAGACAGGAGAATCGCTTGAACCTGGGAGCCTGGGTGACAGAGTCAGATTCTATCTCCAAAATAATAATAATAATTTATAAGTCCTTTTACAAATTACAATTTTTCTTCCATGGCTTCTTCCAATTGTTAATTCATAAGCTGTACATAATTGTGACAATATAATTGCCCTCCTCTTCATATTATTTCAAATATGACTTTTCATTTAATCTGGAAATTTTATATTTCTCAATTATATTGCCTACATATCATTCTATTAGGCAATTGTACCTGCTTAAATATTTCCAATTTAAGTAGGCATGAAATAGTATATCCAATCTGTTTTTACTTTTCCAAATTAATTGTTAGCAAGATTAACCACCCGCCACCAGCCACTTTTTTTTTTTTTTTTTAAGAGACAGAGTGTTACTATGTTGCCCAGGCTGGTCTCAAACTCTTGGGCTCAAGTGACTCCCCCACCTCAGCCTCTCAAGTATTGCTGGGAACTACAGGCACGCACCATTGCTCCTGGCTAACATCTTGTTTTAATGTTTTTCCCTCCAATTTCTTCTTGTGTTCTTGGTGTTGTCTAACCATGTGTACACTGGGGAGGTGGTGATATAAACACAGTACATGCTTCCTCCTTATATAATGTCACCTTAATTGATATGTTTTCTTTTTTTCTAAAGACGGGGTTTCACCATGTTGGTCAGGCTGGTCTTGAACTCCCAACCTCAGGTGATCCACCCGCCTTGGCCTCCAAAGTGCTTGGGTTACAGGCGTGAGCCACTACACCCGGCCAATTGATATGTTTTCTAATTAAAAATAACCTTACAAGAGAAGCAAACCTATCAAAATGTCTAGATGACTTTGTTCATTAATTCAAAAGATATACATTCAGCCACTGCTAATTACTGCATACTAAGCTCTGGGGCTACATGGAAGAACCACCCAGACACAGTTCCTGCCCCCAAAGGCTTACAGTTAAGTTTTGGTAGGAAACATATGAAACATAACGCTTTTGGTTACTTAATAGAATTCTATGGTATTAGGGGTAACAGAAACATGTTTTGTAACCTATATTTTCATACAGGGAATATGCTTAATCTTGCTACAGTATACACGAATGCGGGAATCTATCTTTTCTGGGCTGCCTTTCGTACCACTGGGCTGGAACACCTGTTCATTCCACTTTCTGGTTGGGTACAAACCTGAAACGAAATCTCTGTAACCCAGTACAGCCTGCGCCCGGTGGGGCCCAGTCCGTCCTCATTCCGATGCGCGGAAGTAGAGGTCACCACGCTGTCTCGATTCCGCCGCAGGCGGTTCCTCGCTCCTTCACCACCCCAGGGCTCCAAGACCCACCCCGCTTTGGCCTGAGGCTCCCATTGCCCAGCCAGTTCCCCGCTCACTTCCAGCTTTTCCTCAGGGCTGGGCCACGCCCCTCGGCCCAGACTCTCTGGCCACTCCGCCGCGATCAGCCCGCGTCTTTGCCTCTTTCCCTTCCCGTCTCTTGTGCCCCGCCGGATGCCTCTCCTAGGACCCCACCACTTTCCACCCCTTTCCGTCTGTTATTTCTCCCAAACTTGCGCCCGCACAGGCCCTGCTGGAACGCCCCTGCCCCGGGCGTGCCCCTTGTCCCCACTCCAGAGAGGAAGGGCGTGGGTGCAGCTCATTTCTAGCCTGGGGAGCGGGTGGAATAAACCTGCGGGGCCCATTTTACGACACCGTGCGGCTGTGCGGCGTGGCTGACGGCAACGCCGTGCAGCTCTTGGAGAGGTCACTTCGGAGACGGCGTTGGTTTTGGGGTGTGGGGGGTTGGTGGCACTATGTGGCGCGTCTGTGCGCGACCCGCCCAGAATGTAGCCCCATGGACAGGACTCGGGGCTCGGTGGGCGGCCTTGCGGGAGGGACCCGGATCTCCACGAGTGACCTCGCGACCTGGCCCGGCTCCGGCTCGTCGCAGCAGCGTGACCACAGGGTATGGCGGGGTCCGGACACTGTGTGGCTGGACCCCCAGCTCTGGGGCCACGCCGCAGAACCGCTTCCTGCTGCAGCTTTTGGGAACCGCTTCCAGCTGCAGCCGCCGCTGTTACAGTCTTCCCCCGCATCAGAAGGTGAGCTCTCGACCGGTCCTTGGGACAACTCGTCCTTCAGAGCCGACTGGATGCCTGCAGGATCCTCCTTGAGAGGCCTCATTGATCCTCCAACCATTCCCAGTATCTGCTTTCGCTCTTTGTCCGATAGTCAGCTTTGCTGTAGCTCCTTAGCTTCCCTCTCATGATCTATTCCATTGAAAGGAGAGCTTCAAGACTGGGGCTGTATGCAAAATATCTGCCGAGGTTCATGCCTTGTCAGACCCACAGGACTGTGGAGGAGAAAGCCTGTCATTGGAAAGTAGTAACTTCTCGTGGGCAGTAAATCTCTTTCTATCCCTAGTTCCTAGTGTGTAATGGAACTGGATAAACTCGTTGCATGAAATTGAATTAAATGAAATCTTAAGCCAGACTGAGAGTTAGGCAGCCCTTTAAAAATTTAATGTTTCTTCTTTTTTTCTTCCAGGTTCCATTGCCTTCTCTTTCCCCCACAATGCAGGCAGGCACCATAGCCCGTTGGGAAAAAAAAGAGGGGGACAAAATCAATGAAGGTGACCTAATTGCAGAGGTAAATTGTTTTAAAATAAAGGAGATGAGTTTGAAGAGACTGGCTTTGCTGAATTGACTGAACATTGACTTTCTGGATGTGTAGTTACCCCTTTGCTTAAGAAACTTAAGTGTTTTTCACAGCTTGATGTTAGACAAGATTGGTTCGATGAGTTATCAGCAGCTTGCCAAACTGATGTTTAGCCAAGGTGTTTCTAAAGTAATTCCTTCTTTCAAATCTGTCCTAGTGGCCTTATCCTCACAGAACTGTATAATTCTGTTCACAAAGGCCAGGCTGACCAACATGGTGAAACTCCCATCTCTGCTAAAAATA